TGAGCGTTCAGCACACTCCTCGCCCAAGGATTCTAATCCTTGTTACTTATTTGTTACATGTCACTATTCAGTTTGGTTTTGGATCAACTTCTTCTCCGTCATCAGGCAATAGTAGGACAAGCTCCTTGATGGGTCGTAGGTAGGTCTTCCTTTCTCCGTCTCTAACAACGTCAACTTTAACCTTTCTAACTCTGTCATCCTCACTTCTTATGGCCTCTGAGATTCGTCCCAGTGGCCAGTCGTTGCGGTGCCGTGACTCGTCTCGCATGAGGACGACATCTCCGACGCGTAGGTCTCGCTGCATCTCTGTCCACTTCCGTCGGGGCTGCAAGCTTTGTAGGTACTCCCGTCGCCATCTCGTCCAAAACTGATCTGCTAGGAACTGAACACGTCTCCAGCGACGACGAGCGTATATGTCAGGGCGTAGGAACTGACCTGGAGGGGGTCCAGCTGGGCGTGTTTTCATTGTCAGTAACATCGCAGGAGACAGAGGTAGTGGGTCGTCTGGGTCGGATGGCAGCGCAGATATGGGTCTGGCGTTAACGATGGCTACCACCTCAGCCATCAGTGTGATAAGCAACTCGTGTGTCAGCTGAGGCCTGCCCAGTTCGGCAAACATAGCATCTAATACTCGACGGATGGTATTGATTTGCCTTTCCCACACGCCGCCAAAATGTGATGCGTGGGGAGGGTTAAACTCCCATTTGCATCCGTACTCCGTCACAAATTTCTCCACTTTCTTGTCGTTGAGCTCCGACACTGCTTCTCCAAGCTCTGTTTTGGCTCCGATGAAGTTAGTTCCTCTGTCGCACCTAAGAAGCGTAGCATGGCCTCGTAGCGCGAAGAATCTCCTCAGTGCGCAGATAAAGGCGCTGGCATCCATGGCTTCTAGGACTTCAATGTGTATGGCTCTACTGCTGAGGCACGTGAAGACCAGACCCCAGCGTTTAGCATTCGCGGTCCCTCCTCTTGTTTTACGCGTTTGCACCGCCCAAGGGCCGAAAACATCGAAGCCCACGTTAGTGAAGGGAGGACAGACTTCAGTCCTATCAGGCGGAAGGTCTGCCATGCGCTGCTCCAGTGGTGGTCCTCTTAGCTTCTTGCAGGGAACACAAGCTCCGACGACTTTCGTCACAGTGTCATGACCTCCGATGAGCCAGAATCCTGCCTGTCGAATGGCTCCTCCGGTAATCTGTCTTCCTTGGTGGTGCACCTGGAGGTGGTGGTGTTTCGCTACAAGCCGTGACACATGGTGATTCTTTGGCAGTATGATTGGGTGTTTCTCTCCGTACTCCATCTCTGCTCTCCTTAATCTGCCTCCGACGCGCAGGATCCCGTAGTTGTCAAGGAACGGGTCAAGGTGGTACAGATGTGAGCCTTTGAGGGATTTCTTTGCGCCGTGCTGAACTTCTCTCGGTAGCTCGGGCTCCGTCCTGGCATCTCGCAACAACTCCCTAAATGCTGCTCTCTGTGTGGTGCTTATTATGACGCGCAGAGCTTGATCCCACTCTTCGACTGTTGGAAGTCTACGTTTGCCCGGTCCTTTAGGCACTTCACTCCTAGGGTTAACTCCTCGTGCTTTGGAGTCTCTACGGCGTTTGAATTCTCTTGCCACAACGATAAGATTGGCGACTGCGCGCTGCAGGGACCTTAAGGAAGAGAACCTCTGGAATCTTTTTGCCCAAACGTCTGGTTCTTCGCCTCTTTTATCCATTGTGACTTTGGCCCTGAGCACTCCCTTGCGAACTTCAGGATCACTCGCGTCGAGTGTGAACGTTTCATCCGGTCGAGGGGTACCTTGTGGTCTTTTAAGGAATCCTGGCCCTCCGAGCCAGGTCGATGCCATTAACTTGTCAGGGGGAACTCCGCGCGTGGCCAAATCTGCTGGATTCTGCTCGCTCTCCACATATCTCCACTGCTCTGGGGTAGACAGACTTCTGATTAGCTGTACTCGGTTGGCCACGTAGACGTAAAACCGGCGGCTTTCGTTTGTGATGTAGCCTAGCACTACTTTCGAGTCGGTGTAGTATGTCACCTCCGAGATCTTTACGTCAATTTCTTTGATAACTCTCTGAGCTGCTTGAACTGCTAGCACCGCTCCGCACAGTTCGAGTCGTGGGATGCTTGTAGGGTTTACGGGGGCAACCTTGGCTTGACCGTAGACGAGAGACGTGGACATCTCGTTTACTTCGTTGAACTGGCGGAGGTAGACTGCAGCTCCAATGGCGTCCTGACTCGCGTCAGAAAAGGCGTGTAGTTCCACTCTGGTCACGGTGCCAAATTCCTTTGGGTGGTAACAGCGGGGGACAGATAGGTGCTGTAACTCCAGGAGAGAATCTCTCCAGCACGTCCACCGGTTCATCATTGCGGTAGGAAGAGGGTCGTCCCAGGCTAAGGGGGTTTTGTTCTCGGCTCTTCGCTCCCCCATGAGTACGAGCTGCTGTAGTATTTTTCTCCCCTCGAGTATGGCAGGTACCGCAAAACCGAGCGGGTCATACACAGAGTTGACAATAGACAAGACTCCTCTCCTGGTGAATGGTTTCTCCGGTGAACACACCTTGAAGGTGAAGGCATCCGTCTCCAAATCCCAGAAAACTCCTAGCGACCGTTGCGCGGGCAGACTGTCGCTGCGCAGGTCGAGGTCACGCACATCCTTTGCTCGGTCCTCAGCGGGAAAGGCTTCCATGACTTCCACCGAATTTGACACGACTTTGTGTAGTCGTAGCTTAGCTGTGGCTAGGGTGGCTTGTGCACCTTTCACCAAGTCTATCGCTCCTTGGGCGGTCGTCAGCGAAGCCAAACCATCATCGACGTAGAAATTGCGGCATATAAAATTCTTGGCCTCCTCGCCGTACTTCTCCTCGCCGTCTACCGCCGTTCTGCGAAGTCCATACGTGGCGACTGCGGGGCTCGGTCCATTGCCAAACAGGTGGACGTTCATGCGATATTCTGTGACGGGTTTCGACGGGTCATTATCCTCGAACCACAGGAAACGAAGGAAGTCTCTGTGTGCCGGGTCTACGTGGAATGAATGGAACATTTGTTCGACGTCGCACATGACGGCAACATTCTCCTTGCGGAAACGCATTAGAACTCCAATGAGGTTGTTCATCAAGTCAGGGCCAGGTAAAAGCACTTTGTTTAACGACACTCCTCTAAACTCGCAACTCGAGTCGAACACAACGCGAATAGTGTGCTTTGTGTTATGGTAGGTCGCGAAATGCGGTAAGTACCAAGAACGCCCAGGGGGAGGCGGAGCGTCATCGCGCGGGACAGGAGAGGCGTGGCCCTTCTCGATTATCTTGCCCATGAACTCCAGGTAGTCCGCTTTCATTTCAGGTTTCCTGTTGAACGTCTTAAGAAGCCCTTGTAGGCGTTGCATGGCTTGGGCTCGGTTGTCTGGCATTGTCTGGCGTTCATCACGAAATGGCAAGGGCATTTCCCAGTTACCACTTGCGTTCTTGTGTATCCCTCTCTCCATAATCTCTAGAAAGGCGCGGTCCTCGTGGGAGAGACTGGGCTCGTTGTCGTTTCGCGTAGTCTTGAAGATACTATCAGGGGGGCGCTCCAAAGGGGGGTCTGTGATCTTGAATTGGTTGGGGCAGGGCACCAGTTCGTAGCTTCCGTCTCCAGGCTCCTTCTCTCTCCATGTATTAGTGGACAGATTTGTGAGGCGGGCGAGAATGTGCGCAGGGCCACTAGGGAAGTCGAGGCACATCTGACCACTGATAGTCCAGCCGAGGGCCAGTCGCTGCCCCCAGGGTGCTCCTCTCGGGCCATTCCTGGATTCCCTAACCTTTAACAGTTCTGGTGCGTCCCGGCCGATTAGCAAGTGAACTTTGGCAGTCTCATCTAGGGGAGGTATTTCGCTAGCTATGGCCGTCAAGTGCGGGAACCTCCTCGCCATGCTTGGGGTTGGAATCTCACGTTTGTCCTGTGGGATGGTATCGCACTCGGTGAGGGTAGGCAAGACAAACTCTGCTCCACTGATAGACCGTACTGTGATGCCAGCTACTCGCCGGCCGTATTTCTCCTCTCTCTCACCGCTGCATGTGGATAGGAAGTATTTCTCTAGGGGCCCACCTGCTCCGAGGTCGTCGGCTAATTCGCTGGTGACGAGAGAGCTGTTGCTCTGCTCATCGACGATGGCGTAGACACGCTTGGTAAGGTGTGGGCTACGCTGGCTATAGACGTCCACCAGCAGGGTTTTGCTGCAAGACACACCTCCTGTAGGTTCACAGAGTGCAGTGCATTTCGCGCTGACTGCTTCATTCTCCGGTTTGGGGGGCGGCTGTTTCTCCTTGTGCAGTAAGGCACTATGGCGCTTGTCCCCACAGATCGTGCACTGTATAGGCGTGTTGCACTCGCTTGCAATGTGAGCGTTGCTGAAACAGCGAAAGCACAGGCGCGCGTCCATTATCCACTGCGTGCGTTCTTCCAGTGTTTTTGCAGCGAAGGCCTTGCACTCCGATAGGTTGTGCGCGCTGCTTTCGTGATATGGACAATGCTTACTCCTTGTCTCTCTCTTTCCGGGATTCTCCTTCTTCTCTTTTCCGGGAACTTCGTTGTTTTCAGCCGGGGATCGAATGCCTGTCTTGAACGATTTATGATCTCGCTCCCTGCGTTGTTTTGGCGGGGGAACGTGGGCACCATCCTTACCAGCGAGGATGTTCGGATTGTTCTTGGTCCTGGCTTGTTCCTGAACAATTTTGGAGAATCTGGAGAAGGGGGGGTACATTCCTCGGTGGCTGTCGGAATAATTCGCGATTTCTTTCTCCCATTTAGTGCGGACGAATTGTGGTAGTTTCTCGGCTATTGGTTGGATAGCGCTCGGGTAGTTAAGGCATGCGAGTCCCGGGAGAAATGTCACTTGACTTTCGATGTCAGCACAAAGATCTGCGAACTGTTGCAGTTTATCGTTTTCGTGCTCGCTGAACGTCACTGTGTTTCGCAGGCGCTCTAGCAGTTTGTTACTGATAACCGCAGCGCTTCCAAATCGCTTCTCAAGTTCCGCCCACAAATCCCTTAGCAACGCGACGGGATCGCGCATTTGTCGCTTNACGGCCATAGCTAGCGAAATACCTCCCCTAGATGAGACTGCCAAAGTTCACTTGCTAATCGGCCGGGACGCACCAGAACTGTTAAAGGTTAGGGAATCCAGGAATGGCCCGAGAGGAGCACCCTGGGGGCAGCGACTGGCCCTCGGCTGGACTATCAGTGGTCAGATGTGCCTCGACTTCCCTAGTGGCCCTGCGCACATTCTCGCCCGCCTCACAAATCTGTCCACTAATACATGGAGAGAGAAGGAGCCTGGAGACGGAAGCTACGAACTGGTGCCCTGCCCCAACCAATTCAAGATCACAGACCCCCCTTTGGAGCGCCCCCCTGATAGTATCTTCAAGACTACGCGAAACGACAACGAGCCCAGTCTCTCCCACGAGGACCGCGCCTTTCTAGAGATTATGGAGAGAGGGATACACAAGAACGCAAGTGGTAACTGGGAAATGCCCTTGCCATTTCGTGATGAACGCCAGACAATGCCAGACAACCGAGCCCAAGCCATGCAACGCCTACAAGGGCTTCTTAAGACGTTCAACAGGAAACCTGAAATGAAAGCGGACTACCTGGAGTTCATGGGCAAGATAATCGAGAAGGGCCACGCCTCTCCTGTCCCGCGCGATGACGCTCCGCCTCCCCCTGGGCGTTCTTGGTACTTACCGCATTTCGCGACCTACCATAACACAAAGCACACTATTCGCGTTGTGTTCGACTCGAGTTGCGAGTTTAGAGGAGTGTCGTTAAACAAAGTGCTTTTACCTGGCCCTGACTTGATGAACAACCTCATTGGAGTTCTAATGCGTTTCCGCAAGGAGAATGTTGCCGTCATGTGCGACGTCGAACAAATGTTCCATTCATTCCACGTAGACCCGGCACACAGAGACTTCCTTCGTTTCCTGTGGTTCGAGGATAATGACCCGTCGAAACCCGTCACAGAATATCGCATGAACGTCCACCTGTTTGGCAATGGACCGAGCCCCGCAGTCGCCACGTATGGACTTCGCAGAACGGCGGTAGACGGCGAGGAGAAGTACGGCGAGGAGGCCAAGAATTTTATATGCCGCAATTTCTACGTCGATGATGGTTTGGCTTCGCTGACGACCGCCCAAGGAGCGATAGACTTGGTGAAAGGTGCACAAGCCACCCTAGCCACAGCTAAGCTACGACTACACAAAGTCGTGTCAAATTCGGTGGAAGTCATGGAAGCCTTTCCCGCTGAGGACCGAGCAAAGGATGTGCGTGACCTCGACCTGCGCAGCGACAGTCTGCCCGCGCAACGGTCGCTAGGAGTTTTCTGGGATTTGGAGACGGATGCCTTCACCTTCAAGGTGTGTTCACCGGAGAAACCATTCACCAGGAGAGGAGTCTTGTCTATTGTCAACTCTGTGTATGACCCGCTCGGTTTTGCGGTACCTGCCATACTCGAGGGGAGAAAAATACTACAGCAGCTCGTACTCATGGGGGAGCGAAGAGCCGAGAACAAAACCCCCTTAGCCTGGGACGACCCTCTTCCTACCGCAATGATGAACCGGTGGACGTGCTGGAGAGATTCTCTCCTGGAGTTACAGCACCTATCTGTCCCCCGCTGTTACCACCCAAAGGAATTTGGCACCGTGACCAGAGTGGAACTACACGCCTTTTCTGACGCGAGTCAGGACGCCATTGGAGCTGCAGTCTACCTCCGCCAGTTCAACGAAGTAAACGAGATGTCCACGTCTCTCGTCTACGGTCAAGCCAAGGTTGCCCCCGTAAACCCTACAAGCATCCCACGACTCGAACTGTGCGGAGCGGTGCTAGCAGTTCAAGCAGCTCAGAGAGTTATCAAAGAAATTGACGTAAAGATCTCGGAGGTGACATACTACACCGACTCGAAAGTAGTGCTAGGCTACATCACAAACGAAAGCCGCCGGTTTTACGTCTACGTGGCCAACCGAGTACAGCTAATCAGAAGTCTGTCTACCCCAGAGCAGTGGAGATATGTGGAGAGCGAGCAGAATCCAGCAGATTTGGCCACGCGCGGAGTTCCCCCTGACAAGTTAATGGCATCGACCTGGCTCGGAGGGCCAGGATTCCTTAAAAGACCACAAGGTACCCCTCGACCGGATGAAACGTTCACACTCGACGCGAGTGATCCTGAAGTTCGCAAGGGAGTGCTCAGGGCCAAAGTCACAATGGATAAAAGAGGCGAAGAACCAGACGTTTGGGCAAAAAGATTCCAGAGGTTCTCTTCCTTAAGGTCCCTGCAGCGCGCAGTCGCCAATCTTATCGTTGTGGCAAGAGAATTCAAACGCCGTAGAGACTCCAAAGCACGAGGAGTTAACCCTAGGAGTGAAGTGCCTAAAGGACCGGGCAAACGTAGACTTCCAACAGTCGAAGAGTGGGATCAAGCTCTGCGCGTCATAATAAGCACCACACAGAGAGCAGCATTTAGGGAGTTGTTGCGAGATGCCAGGACGGAGCCCGAGCTACCGAGAGAAGTTCAGCACGGCGCAAAGAAATCCCTCAAAGGCTCACATCTGTACCACCTTGACCCGTTCCTTGACAACTACGGGATCCTGCGCGTCGGAGGCAGATTAAGGAGAGCAGAGATGGAGTACGGAGAGAAACACCCAATCATACTGCCAAAGAATCACCATGTGTCACGGCTTGTAGCGAAACACCACCACCTCCAGGTGCACCACCAAGGAAGACAGATTACCGGAGGAGCCATTCGACAGGCAGGATTCTGGCTCATCGGAGGTCATGACACTGTGACGAAAGTCGTCGGAGCTTGTGTTCCCTGCAAGAAGCTAAGAGGACCACCACTGGAGCAGCGCATGGCAGACCTTCCGCCTGATAGGACTGAAGTCTGTCCTCCCTTCACTAACGTGGGCTTCGATGTTTTCGGCCCTTGGGCGGTGCAAACGCGTAAAACAAGAGGAGGGACCGCGAATGCTAAACGCTGGGGTCTGGTCTTCACGTGCCTCAGCAGTAGAGCCATACACATTGAAGTCCTAGAAGCCATGGATGCCAGCGCCTTTATCTGCGCACTGAGGAGATTCTTCGCGCTACGAGGCCATGCTACGCTTCTTAGGTGCGACAGAGGAACTAACTTCATCGGAGCCAAAACAGAGCTTGGAGAAGCAGTGTCGGAGCTCAACGACAAGAAAGTGGAGAAATTTGTGACGGAGTACGGATGCAAATGGGAGTTTAACCCTCCCCACGCATCACATTTTGGCGGCGTGTGGGAAAGGCAAATCAATACCATCCGTCGAGTATTAGATGCTATGTTTGCCGAACTGGGCAGGCCTCAGCTGACACACGAGTTGCTTATCACACTGATGGCTGAGGTGGTAGCCATCGTTAACGCCAGACCCATATCTGCGCTGCCATCCGACCCAGACGACCCACTACCTCTGTCTCCTGCGATGTTACTGACAATGAAAACACGCCCAGCTGGACCCCCTCCAGGTCAGTTCCTACGCCCTGACATATACGCTCGTCGTCGCTGGAGACGTGTTCAGTTCCTAGCAGATCAGTTTTGGACGAGATGGCGACGGGAGTACCTACAAAGCTTGCAGCCCCGACGGAAGTGGACAGAGATGCAGCGAGACCTACGCGTCGGAGATGTCGTCCTCATGCGAGACGAGTCACGGCACCGCAACGACTGGCCACTGGGACGAATCTCAGAGGCCATAAGAAGTGAGGATGACAGAGTTAGAAAGGTTAAAGTTGACGTTGTTAGAGACGGAGAAAGGAAGACCTACCTATGACCCATCAAGGAGCTTGTCCTACTATTGCCTGATGACGGAGAAGAAGTTGATCCAAAACCAAACTGAAT